ATATTCTCAGAATACAATAACACCTGAATAATATACAATAATAACTTAATAACATACAATAACGCCTGAATAACACGAGAGGAATATTTCCTTGTGTTACCGGGTGATCACCTCCACGGCACGTAGCTCTTCCTGCGGAGTCCTGATATAATATTTTCTCTGCTCGGGCCTAGCTCAGCACGGCCTGGGGCCAATTTACCGTTACTCCTATTGGATTAACATAGGCCATCTTTCTTGGGAAAAAAATATTCCGTCTTATGTTCACATATCCTTAAATTTAATTTTCTCGCATTCCATCATTTTCTTCGTGCATTCAGTAAATTCATATTTAGTACATCCGATAGCGATACCAATTTATTTCACTGTCATTCACGACTATAATCATTGCATTGTGGATCTGATAAATTTGAATTTATCAGAATTGATAAATCCTATTTAACAAAAATCAAAATTGCGGTCAAATACCGTTTTAATATATATATATATATATATATGAATGAGTGAAGATATAAGAAGAGATGAATCAATAGCTAAATAGTCAATTATAGAACATAAATTCAAGACACGTGAGTCAATATTTTTGCATATGGACACAATAAATATTGTTAGTACATTTTTTGTCAAGCATCAATGAATAATTTCAATCTGCAATTATTAGATCTTGTGCATTATTTATGGTTGTTACAGTGTAATAATTATTTTTTTTTTCATTTCTAGTTTTTGGCCACGTTTGTACCTTGTCCCTTACCAATTTTATTTTATTTAATGGGGCTTCGTCTACCGATGAAGGTTATGTAGAGAAATTATTGCATACGGTGTCCCATTTTTATTATCGATCACGACGAAAAAAAAAATTTAAGTTAAAAGTGGGGCCCATCGAAATATATTTTTGTGGTGATCGACAGTGGAGACATGCGGAGTCTGTATGGAATAATTTTCCCGTTTATGGCAGTTTATTTGGTGCGGTGCATTTTGAAAACACCCATGACCGTTAGGTTAAACAGCTTGTTCAAAAAGCTGCGGATTCAAACCGCCGAAATAAACATTTACACACCTATCCTGGCTATGTGTGATGACAATTTTCTAGCTATGATCTGACTTTTTCCCCAAGAAAAAAAAGACATAATTGTCCTCACAGCTTTTGAATTTTAAGTTATTTTTCAGCAGATTATTGAAAATTTATTAATAAGCTTCAGTTGCCCCAAACAGACATGATGTCACTTCTCTTATTCTATGACCCATTGTAGGTGTGAGATTTGAATATTTAATTGATTATATGTCAATTATAATCCCTTCACATTTTTGTGGACATATTAGTATTTAATTTTTGCATTTAGATACTTTGATGATTTTATTGGTAAATAAATGTTAGTGCGATCAAATAAATATTAAAGTTAAATAAAGTTTGCAAAAGTGCTCCAAAAATAGACACTAGTTTGATGATATTATCATTCAGTTATTTTTTAATATTTATTTTTTATGTAGCACATCTTAATAAAAGGATAAATAATTAGAGAAATTTTTGTATTGGCTTTTTTTTTTTAATTTGCAATTATTAAAAAAGAACTATATATATATATGAAAAAGTCAACCCTTAATTAGAAAGTTGTTGCCTAATCAATATTGGTGGGAAAATGTCGATTTCAGCAGCAACATTTTCAAAAAGCTGAAAAAACGCAGTTCACCCAAACAGATAAAACTACGGTGTGGTGTCACATCGCCACCATACCGCTGCCCCAATTGGACCGAGTCGACCTTTGATTTAAACCTTATTTATAACTTTTATTCATCAACTTCGTTCCTTTATACATCCATACCAATTTGAGTCACGAATAAATTAAATCAATTGGTTTTAATTATTAAATTTGGAGAATCAAATCAACAACACTACTTTTTAAATCAAACCAAATTGTTGTTTGGTTAGTTTAGTTCAACTATGAATGAACCAAAATATTTTTAATTTTATCAATAAGTTTTATTAACATTAACTCAATTATCATGTGAGAATAATATTTTTTACTAAAACTTGTCAATACATCATTGAAAATATATACCTGATCAAGCACAAATCTTGATGAGACAAACTGGTTTAAAAGTTGAGTTCACAAACTGGTTTAAATGTTAAGAGAATGTTTAAAAATTAAAGGCACTAGTCTTTGAATTGAGGGTTTGATATTTTTGGCTAAATTTAACAATTTATTTCATTTTTAAATTATAAATAAATCTCTATTCTCTGCATGAAATAATCTTAGATATTGCCCAATGCTTGAAAAATGAGAGCTTTAACATACAACCAATTTGATGTTTCTTCAATGTTTGATGTTAATGATTGCAAACTTCATTAACCCAAATACCATTGCCCTTATTTTCTCATCCGAACACAATTGTTCGCTTGTTATTTGCAGACTGTTATTTTCTCATCGCTTTCCTCAACCAACATTGCATGTTCGTCAATATTTAACCATCAGTCTTTAACTTTCAGTGAAAGTCGCCTTCAACTGATCATCATCATCAATCCTTTAATACTTATCTAGCATGATAACAATCACAAGATATTAAGCTAAGGTTTTATTCTTTGTAACCTCATATTTTCTAATTTATGGGAGGAGGGATCCTTAACATTTTTTGTAATGTAGTGAATCATTTCGTCCGGATTAACCCTTCAGATTTTTTTCACTTTTAGGCCTTTCCTTATAAAAGTTATAGTGTCTTTTTATATTACCATAGTTCCATTAATATTACAAAAATAAACTTCCAACCAATAACAAAAAAATAAAACAAATTCAAGATTGCAAATAACCAAATTGCTATTTTAATAATCAAATCAAACCTTCAACAACGTTTAATATTTTAAATTTCATTAAAAGAAACCATAGATCATTTGAATTAATTAGAATTAATTTTTTAATAAGTTTTCATGAGGAGATATTTTGATTTGGAATAAAATATTTGAGTATTGTCGAATCCTTTTAGGATTTAGGGTTCAATATCGTTTGCAAGTATATATGACCTGACAAAATTAACTTATATCATAGAGAGAGAAGGAAAAGAATGAAGATCATTTGAGGGAACCTTAGAAAGTATATTAACTTTCAATTTACGGTAAATCGAAGGGCAGCGATTCCTTAGAGGTTCCTCAAGCTATTGAATTTTAGATAAAGATATATCTCAATCTTTAGAGAGGGACGAACCTAGGAGGATCACTTGAGAAAAGGAAAAGCCTCCTTCTCTCCTATTCTCTCCCCTTTAAACATAGGGGAGAAAATCTAAAAAAATAAATAAACTTGGACATCTTACACTGTATAATGTCTTTTTCTAATGTCCCGATGGAAGATTTATGATGTGAATGTCAGATATTGCCAATTAATGTCAGATATTTCATGTATAACAACCACTCTCAATATCTAGGTGAAAAGGCGAAATCCAAAATGTTGAGCGACGCCTTTAATAACGAACATACAAATGTCTTCAGTAGTCATGATGAATTTCTCGGGTAGTTAGCTAGGTTAACCCCTTAAGGAAATGATAATGTCCAATTTGACACACAAGCCTGATTTAGCTTGCGAGTGTAATCGATTCTATCATTTTGATAGGTGGGTTAGATTCAATCAATTCGACAGATGAATTCAATTTAACCTTTTAGGCAGATGAGAGATATTTAGCAAAGATTCCTACATATTGGAAATTGTGTATAGAAGAATATATTTTTAAAAAAATTATTCTAATATATAT